ATATTGAGGAATATATATATATATATATATATATTTAAAACCAGTGAGCGGGGAGTATAGTCGGACGGGGCCGACCATATGATACCCTGAATGAAATCTCAACTTCACCGAAAACTGTAGGCGTCGTCCTTGACCATAATCGGAACCTTCTTTACAATTTCAAAGCGATCAGCGCGACATTTCCGTCCTCTAATGGAGTAATAGTAATACTATGCACATAGTCACAATTGCCTTATTATGTATAACTCCCATATTTGAGCACATCCAACAATATAGTTGGTATCAACTTAAAGGTCAACCACTCCTCTAGGAAACTTCTCTCTCTATCAACTTCTCGGGTCTATGTCCTTCAGGAGTAAATATATACGCTATAGAATACAAATTTTGTCATTTCTCACACAAAAGTCAGGGTCCATTTGACCCGCTAAATATTGACCGATCTTTATCAAAACAGGCATGCTTATTCTTTGGCCCGATCCCTTTCTCCATGCAAAAATTCGCGGTGTTTGGGTCATAATTGCGGCCTCTGGAGCGACCAGAAAAACGGACAAAAATTAAGTATTTGGTTCATTTCATCCCCTAAATATTAACCGATATTTACCAAAAATCTTAGGGGTCCTCATTGGCCAGAACCCATCCTAAATGCAAAATTTCGTGAAGATTGGTCCATAACTATGGCCTGTATCGGGTTTACAAATTATAATGGACAGACGGACACACAAGTCTAGATCGATTCAGCTAGTCGAGATATGACGATCGGTATACTTAAAGGTGCGGCGTTACAAACTCTCGGGGCTGCACAAAGCTATAATACCCTGACAACATAGTTGTGTAGGGTATAAATAAAATTCCCCGCCTTAAAATTATCCTTGAATTACGTTTTGAAATTAAATTATTAAATATTTTTTCTCAGTGTACAATTTGCCTTTTTGAAATGAAAATCTTGCGCAAAATTTGATTCTAATTTAATTTAGTGGTTCGTTACTTTTTTTCTTTGCTATTTTATTTTAATTCGTTTTTTCTGTTGTTGTTGTATTTCGATTTAGAAAAACTAATGCAGAAATTATTTTTAATTCAAAACTTTTTTTTGCTTCTGTGATAAAATTTATTTTACATTCTATTGTTGTTGTTGTTGGTGGTGTTGTTGCTGCTGTTATGAACCAATGACACAGTGAGCAGAAGTTGAAATAGATGTACCAAAAATAACAACAACAAAAATACCAAAAAAAAAAAGAAATTCTTGCATTCCTTTAGAAAAAAAAATAAATAAAAAAAACATGAGAAAGGAGGAGGATGTTGACGAAAAAAGTGAAAACAAAAAAAAAACTTAAAACAATTGATGGTAAAATTTGTAGAAGAAGGCGAATGATAAAAAACAACAACAAGAACAGCAGCAACACATGTAGTCAATCCTACACACACACACATATGCATTATGTATGTATATGTGTGCTTTGTATAGTTTTTTGGTCTTATATATTTGTATATAGTGTATATAGGAATACATTGATCGGCGGTTGTTGTTTGTTTATAATACCCAAAACACGTCGACCACGACAACAACAATGGGAGCAACAACAAAAATGTTGTAATGCTTTTTAGTGGTAGCATCGTGGCGGTGTTCTGTCACCAAAACTCACGCCGTTGATAATCATGACAGCAGAAAACTGTTGACAGATGATTAGGCAATTTTTGCAGTGCTTTTCTTTTTGGCGAGGCTCGCTCTGTTGACATTTTGTGGTACCCTTCCTAGGCACCTCCCTCTCAACAGACAGCATCCACGTTGATATTCTAATGATCTCTTGACAAGCAGAACCGAAGCTACTGTCCTCCTCCTCCCGCACTCTCAGCAGATTCTTGTCTTCTTCTTTCATTTTCGCTTTATTGGCATTCTGTCACTTTCTTTGACTTTTGTTTTCTTAACACTTTCTCTCACCGAACACTTCGTGTCGAAACTATTTATAGTCGGGCTAACTTGTGTCCGTCTTTCGTTCGTGAAAGAAAAATAACAATTTCCCAACATTAACCTTGTTGGTGCTATAGCTTCACGCTCTTCAAAGATTAATGAATTTATAATTTATGCAGCGACGCCAGCTGGGCCGAGCGTCAAGGTAACGTCCAGTAATTAGACGTGAAAACATCAAACGTCCTGCAGAGTGACAAAAATATGTTTATGTTTTCGGTTTTGTTGATAAACAAAAATGAAAATAAAAAAACAATTGGCAAGCAACCCACTGTGCAATTTTATGAATTGCGGTGAGTGTGTGTTTGTGTGTGGGTATTTGTTTGGTTTTTTGTTAGATTGGCAACATTCTGGTATGCTAGCGACATCTATTGAAAATTATCAATATGTTTTGTTTATTTTAACGGTTAATTGAAATTCGACGTGTGTGGTGGCCTAGGAAAAATATTTTTTTTTAATTTTTTTAAGTGCAGATTTTTAATTTTTCTATGCAGAATTTCTTGATATATATTTGTTTAAGGTGTGGATTTTTATAAAGAAATTTTTTTCAAGGCGTGGATTTTTATAAAGAAATTTTTTTCAAGGCGTGGATTTTTATAAAGAAATTTTTTTCAAGGCGTGGATTTTTATAAAGAAATTTTTTTCAAGGCGTGGATTTTTATAAAGAAATTTTTTTCAAGGCGTGGATTTTTATAAAAAAATATTTTTTTCAAGGCGTGGATTTTTATAAAAAAATATTTTTTCAAGGCGTGGATTTTTATAAAGAAATTTTATTTCAAGGCGTGGATTTTTATAAAGACATTTTTTTCAAGGCGTGGATTTTTATAAAGACATTTTTTTCAAGGCGTGGATTTTTATAAAGACATTTTTTTCAAGGCGTGGATTTTTATAAAGACATTTTTTTCAAGGCGTGGATTTTTATAAAGACATTTTTTTCAAGGCGTGGATTTTTATAAAGACATTTTTTTCAAGGCGTGGATTTTTATAAAAAAAGTTTTTCATGGTGTGGATTTTTATAAAAAAAAAGTTTTTCATGGTGTGGATTTTTATAAAAAAAAAGTTTTTCATGGTGTGGATTTTTATAAAGAAAAGTTTTTCATGGTGTGGATTTTTATAAAAAAAAGTTTTTCATGGTGTGGATTTTTATAAAGAAATTTTTTTCCAAGCGTGGATTTTTATAAAGAATTTTTTTCCAAGCGTGGATTTTTATAAAGAAATTTTTTTCAAGGCGTGCATTTTTATAAAGAAATTTTTTTCAAGGCGTGGATTTTTATAAAGAAATTTTTTTCAAGGCGTGGATTTTTATAAAGAAATTTTTTTCAAGGCGTGGATTTTTATAAAGAAATTTTTTTCAAGGCGTGGATTTTTATGAAAAATATTTTTTCAAGGCGTGGATTTTTATAAAGAAATTTTATTTCAAGGCGTTGATTTTTATAAAGACATTTTTTTCAAGGCGTGGATTTTTATAAAGAAATTTTTTTCAAGGCGTGGATTTTTATAAAGAATTTTTTTTCAAGGCGTGGATTTTTATAAAGAAATTTTTTTCAAGGTGTGGATTTTTATAAAGAAATTTTTTTCAAGGCGTGGATTTTTATAAAGAAATTTTTTAAGGCGTGGATTTTTAGAAATAATTTTTTTTCAAACCGTGGATTTTTATAAAGAATTTTTTTTCAAGGCGTGGATTTGTATAAAAAAGTTTTTCATGGTGTGGATTTTTATAAAAAAAAGGTTTTCATGGTGTGGTTTTTTATAAAAAAAATTTCAAGGCTTGGATTTTTATAAAAAAAAATGTTAAAGGGGTGGATTTTTATAAAAAAAATTTCAAGGCGTGGATTTTTATAAAAAAAAATTAAACGGGTGGATTTTTATAAAAAAAATTTCAAGGCGTGGATTTTTATAAAAAAAAAATCAAGGCGTGCATTTTTATAAAAAAAATTGCATGTAGAAAAGTGTTCTGGCCAAAGATCGGTAAATATTTAGGGGATGAAATGGACCAAATACTTAATTTTGTCGTTTTTTTCTGGTTGCACCAGAGACCGCAATTATGACCCGAACATCGCGAAAATTTTAGATGAAGATGGGGATCGGGTCAAAGGATAAGCATGCATGTTTTGATAAAGATCGCCCAATATTGAGCGGTTCAAACGGACCCTAACTTTTGTGTGGAAAATGGCAAAATTTGTATTCTGTATCGTATATATTTACTCCTGAAGGACATAGAGCCGAGAAGTATATCCAAGAGGAGTGAATGGCCTTTAAATTGACGCCGATTATATTTTCGTATATACTCAGATGTGGGAGTTACACGTAAATATTTACAGGTGCTTACGTATTCAGATATTATTTAATAAACCATTACCACACTAGAGGTCGGAAATGTAGCGCAAATCGCTTTGAAATGTTCCATGAGGTTCCAGTTATGGTCAAGGACAACGCCTATAATTTTCGGTGATGAAGTGGACTGAAAACCTAATTTTGTGTGTTTTTTTTCGAGCCGATCTATAGGCCACAATTGAATGCCGAACATCACAACACAACCCACGGTGAAGGGATTATGGACAAGTAATTAGAAGGGCTGTACTGTATATTGGTAATATTCGGAAAATATGTCAGTGTAAGGAAGAGGTGCTGTTGACCTCTAATCGGGCAAGAGGTTGAAATTATCACTAAATATTACCCAAGCTCGGAATAAAAATCCGCCGAAAGATAGAGTTCTGTGGTAGTTGTGTAGGGTATCGTATGGTCGGCCCCGTCCGAATACTGCTCCGCACACAGGTTTTTAAATATTTTTGAATTATTTGTTTAATATATTTAAGGAGTATATATGGAAGGAAGGTAAGTAAAAAAGAACACCCCAATAAAGTAGATAACCATAATATATAAAAGTTTACGAGTCAAAGGAGAATAAAACTACACACCTCTCTATTCCCGCGATATACAATTGCAAACATTTTATAACGGATACTTCTATAAAAGTTTCCCCAATTATTTTAACCTGAAAAACAAACTCTAACACATTTTCTCACCCTTTTTACAGGCATTTGATATTTTAGTTGTTAATCAGGATTTTAAATCAGAAGCCAGTGATTCGGTTACCTTGCAACGTGGTGATATAGTTGAGGTTCTCAAAACATCTACGGAAACGACAAGCGAAACGACCAGTAGTGTTAAGAAGTAGGTGTCGTCGAAACTCTCCCTCTCTCTCTTTACTCTCTCAAGAATTAATTAAAATTCTCTTTGCACTGTTTTTTGTAGAGGTGTTCAGGGCAGTGATGCAACAGCTAAATATTTGGTACGTGTATTCGGTGACAATGCCAAAGAGGGTTGGGTACCCAAAAACATTTTGGAGGACAGTTCGGTATCGTCCATGCTGAATGGCAACGATAAAGAAAGTGCCGAACTACAAAAGAAGTATGTATTACGATTATGATGATATTGATGATATCCTATCACGCCATTTCATTATGTCTCTCTCACTCTTTCTCCTCTCTTTTTGCTCGCTTCATTTAATATTGCATGCATGACGCTTTATCGCTTTTCCTCCTTTCTCCATTCAATCTCGCTCACGCCTGATTTCATTTCTCTGATAATAATATCGTTCTCTCTCTCTTTCTCTCTCTCTCTATCTTCTCATTTATTTTAGGGCCATTATACGAGAACTTTTAGATACTGAGGAGGATTACGGTAGAGATCTACAAAATGTTGTGGATCGTTATATAAAGGCTGTGGATAGTGCCACCGCGCCAAGGACAGTGCGTGATAGTAAGGATATCATATTTGGTAATTTCCAACAAATAGCCGAATTTCACAATAAGTAAGTTGTTGTTCTATTTTTTTTTTTGCATTTTATTCCATTCCGCATCATTCCTTTTTTCAATTTTTACAATTAATGCGTTTGGGGGTGCAGTACATCCCTATATTTAGATAGATACCGAGTCTATTTGTGGCCTGGATTTAAACAAAATATTATTAAAGGTTTAATTGAGGCGTGGATTTTTTAAAAAAATATATTTCAAGGTTCACCTAAGGCCTAGATTTTTTAAAAAATATTTCTAGGTCACACAAGGTGTTGGTTTCCAAAAAATATTTTCTTTGCAAGGTCCACTTTAGGTGTGGATTTTAAAAAAAATATTTTTAGAGGTCCACCTAAGGCGTGGATAAAAAAACTAAAAATATTTTTTCAAGGCGTATATTTTTATAAAAATTATAATTTTTTCAATTTTTATAATTTTTTTTTAGAAAAAAATGTCAAGGCGTGGATTTTTTAAAAAATATTTTTTTAAGGCGTGGATTCTTATAAAAAAATTTTAAGGCGTGGATTTTTTAAAAAATATTTTTTTAAGGCGTGGATTCTTATAAAAAAAATTTTAAGGCGTGGATATTTAAAAAAATATTTTTTTTAAGGCGTGGATTCTGATAAAAAAATTTCAAGGCGTGGATTTTTATAAAAAAAATTCAAGGCGTGGATTTTTATAAAAAAAATTCAAGGCGTGGATTTTTATAAAAAAAAATTCAAGGCGTGGATTTTTATAAAAAAAATTCAAGGCGTGGATTTTTATAAAAAAAAAATTCAAGGCGTGGATTTTTATAAAAAAAATTGCAAGGCGTGGATTTTTATAAAAAAATGAAGGCGTGGATTTTTATGAAAAAAAAAATTTCAAGGCGTGGATTTTTATAAAAAAATTCAAAATATCAAGTCGTGGATTTTTATAAAAAAAATTCAAGTCGTGGATTTTTATAAAAAAATTCAAGTCGTTAATTTTTATAAAAAAATTCAAGTCGTGGATTTTTATAAAAAAAATTCAAGTCGTGGATTTTTATAAAAAAATTCAAGTCGTTAATTTTTATAAAAAAATTCAAGGCGTGGATTTTTATAAAAAAAAATTCAAGTCGTGGATTTTTTTTAAAAAAATTTCAAGACGTGGATTTTTATAAAAAAAATTTCAAGGCGTGGATTTTTATAAAAAAATTCAAGGCGTGGATTTTTATAAAAAAAAAATTCAAGTCGTGGATTTTTTAAAAAAAATTCAAGGCGTGGATTTTTATTAAAAAATTCAAGTCGTGGATTTTTATAAAAAATTTCAAGGCGTGGATTTTTATAAAAAAATGCAAGGCGTGGATTTTTATAAAAAAAATGCAAGGCGTGGATTTTTATAAAAAAAAATGCAAGGCGTGGATTTAAAAAAAAAATGCAAGGCGTGGATTTTTATAAAAAAATTTCAAGGCCTGGTTTCTTATAAAGCATTTTTTTTAAATTTTAAAGAACTAAAAATATGTTTCTAAACGCATTAATTGTAAAAAAATTGAATCGAATCATTTTTTTCACTCAATTTTCCGATTTTTGTTTCCAAAAATTAAATAATTTTGATTGCACATGCTTGATCAGGGTTTTCAATGATGGCGTCAAATACTATGCGGACAAACCGAATATGGTAGTGAAGACCTTTTTGCGATTGGAACGTGATTTCGATATGCATGTCAAATATTGTAAAACCGAACCGCTGGCTCAAGAATTTCTAACATCGAATCGAGAGGCGTTTACATTTTTTCAGGTAAATTGAATAAAAATATTTTTTTAATAGAAAAAAAAGATTGAATTTGCCCACCTCATCTTCTCCTAGAACTGTGCATCATTAAAAAAAACACCATTCCATACAAATTAGAAAAAAATCGAAAAAAAATCTGCACTAAAAATTCTATTTTTAAAAATAGAAAATGTTTTACTGTGGGATATTTTTAAAAATAACGCCCCCATTCACCTATTTTTGTGGATGATGATGATCATCATCGTGATGAAGGTGAGGTGAATGGTGATGATGCTGTTGTTGGCGTTTCGAGGAAGATCAAGACTCCCACAATGGTGTGTCCTCTCGAAGTGAAGGGGAAATTTACTGCAGTCAGCCAAACTCATTATCCGCCCAAAAGACATTCAAATACACCTGCATATTTTTGTTTCGGATTTTTTTATTATTTTTTTTCTTCTTCCTAAATTTTGTTCCACATTTTTGTTGAGTATCCACGCTGCAGAGAAACAAGTTCAAGTTCATCAGAACACCTAATTTTTGTTTCGACTTGGTAGTTTATTAGGTGTGAATTGAAATTTAATTTATGATGTGATGTGTTTTTTTTTATTGGAGGCCCTTTTTCTTCAAGGTTACCCAAATATGGGGAAGAGAAAAAACCTCATAAATTATTCGATTTGACCTAGAGAATATTTTTTCGAGTATCTAAAATGTTTGTTCGGGTTTTATGTTTTCATTTTCTCTATTTATTGTTTATATTATTTAGTTCTGATGTAGATTTTCCAATTAGTGGGGGCTTTAATTTGTTGATATTGAAAGTTCATTCATATGGGGTCTCTCCCCTCTCCTAATTTGATTTTGAAAAAAAAAGATTTTTCTAATCGAAAAATAAACAAACATTTTGTTTGTGATTAGGTTATTTTCTAAAGTGATTTGTTGTTTGCCCTTCAGTTTCGGAATCGACAAATGAACTGTATTTCCTTAGGTTAGGTGTAGACGGGAGAATGTTCGGCAGGGCCGAACATGAGGTGGACATTCAAAATTTTTATAAGAGGGCTATGTCATAGTAAATTGTTGCCAGGAGATCAAACTATAGACACCCAGGTTGCGAAAACTGGGCTAGGGACTTCAACAGGACTAAAAATGACGTATGTATACTTTTACATGGGGGCTACTTCCCAAGATCGATTGATATTTATAAAATATCGAAAATCTGAGGATAACCTTTTAAAAGTGGACTAATATTTATAATTTTTGGTAGGCGTATTTGTCAAATTTCAGCCAACTCGTTTGAAAATTCTCAAAAAATCGAAAATCGGAGGGCACCCTTAATAGAGCCAACTCTAAAAAGTGGACTAATATTTATAATTTTTGGTAGGAGTATTTGCCACCTAATGACAACTCAAAATACCAAATTTCAGCCAACTGGTTTGAAGAACGAGTCTAAAATCCTCCAAATATCGAAAATCGGAGTGTACTTTGATATGGAAGCTATACCTAATAGTAGACAGATATTGATAATTTTTGGCAAGGGGTTTGCTATCCAATAAACAAACCGAACTATGGAATTGCAGCCACGTGTCTAATATCATCCAAATATCGAAAATCGGAGGGTACCCTCATATGGGTCCTACCATAAAAATTAGACCAATAACAAAAATTTTTTGTAGTATGATTGAAGGCCTAAAGAGAACTAAAAATATCAAGGTACAGCCTATTCGGTTGAAAAAGCATCTAAAATCCTCAAATTATCGAAAAACGGAGGGTGACGCTATACGGGGCCTATCCTAAATATTACCACAATAACAATATTTTTTTGAAAGATGATTCCACACCAAATGAGAACATAAAATATCAAATTACAACTTTTTCGGTTGATAAACATATCCTAAATCGTCAATATATCGAGAATCGGAAAGTACTCTTTTATGGCAGCTATACCTAAGAGTAAACTGATATTAATCTTTTTTGGCAGGGAGGTTTGCTTCCCAATTAAAAATCATATTATCAAATTACAGACAATTTGGTCGAAAAACTTGTTCAATATCTTGAAAATACCGAAAATCGGAGGGTACCCTTATATGGAGACTACATTAAAAAATAGGTAACAAAATCGGAGGGTACCGTTATATGGGGTCCATACTAAAAAGTTATCCGATATTGATAATTTTTGGTATAAAGTTTCCCTACCCCACGGGAATCCCAAATAACAAATTACAGCACATTCGGCTGAAAAACTTGTCCTAAATCCTCAAAATATCGAAAATCGGAGGGTACTCTTATATGGAGCCTACCCTAAAAAATATGTTAACAAAAATATTTTCTTCTAGGATGATTTAACATCCCATGAGAACTCAAAATATTAAATTACATCCCATTCGGTTCATAAACGCATCGAAAAACCTCAAAACATCGAAAATAGCAGGCTATCGTTATATGGGGGCTATACCAAAAAGTTAACCGATATTGATAATTTTTGGTATAAAGATTTCATACCCCACGATAATCCCAATTAACAAGTTACAGCCCATTCGGTTGAAAAACTTGTCCTAAATCCTCAAAATATCGAAAATCGGAGGGCACTCTTATATGGAGCCTACCCTAAAAGATATGTTAACAACAATGGTTTCTTCTAGGATGATTTAACATCCAATGAGAACTCAAATTATTAAATTACAGCCCATTCGGTTCATAAACGCATCGAAAAACCTCAAAACATCGAAAATCGCAGGCTATCGTTATATGGGGGCTATACCAAAAAGTTAACCGATATTGATAATTTTTGGTATAAAGATTTCATACCCCACGATAATCCCAATTATCAAGTTACAGCCCATTCGGTTTAAAAACTTGTCCAAAATCTTGTAAATACCGAAAATTGGAGTGTAACCTTATATGGGACCTACCCCAAAAAAACGCTAACAACTATATTTTTTTGTAGGATGATTTGACACCCAATGGGAACTCAAAATACAGCCCATTCGGTTGATAAACGTATTTTAAACCCTCAAAATATCGAAAATCGGAGGAAAATCGGAGTAAACCGATATTGATAATTTTTGGTATGGAGATTTACTACCTCGGGAGAATCAAAAATACCAAACTACAGCCCAAAATTCCAAACTTCGGTTGATAAACGTTATCTTAAATCCACAAAATAACGAAAATCGGAGGGTAAATCTATATGTGGCCTATACCTAAAAGTAAACCTATAGAGAGCATAACCGTGTTCTATCTTAAGAGGAATTGTCGAATGAACCTAGAATATTCCCCTGGACGACATATGGTAATTTTTTTCTGTCTAGAGAAAAGTTGAATTAGTTCATAACGATTCTGAATTTGGAGCGATCGATACTAGGTCCGGTTCTTCTTTTTTCCCTCTCGCTCACCTAGTTCCTTTTGATCCTATTGTTCAGCTAGATATTGAATTGAACTTTTAGAGACTGTTGAACAAACTAAATTACCTAGTTTCTTTTTTTTTTGCAGCGAATTCATAACGGAACGAATCCGAAGATCGTACCTTTCAGGAACGATATTGTTCGATTTGTTTGTAAAAAAAATACTTAATAACTACATAATCTAACCACACTTAGTCTAATAATACCCTCCACCCTAGTGTCTATGCCAGCTCACATTCTCCTCACATACCCGTGTATATATGTATGTATGTTTATCTCACTTGTTTATAATTTGTTTATTTTTTATTTATAATTCACATAATTAATAAATCCAGAACTATTTTTATTTTCTGGTGGATTCTGGAAAAAAAAAACTCCATATTGACTTCGAATATTTAGTAACCGATTATATTATTTAAAGAAAAAAAAAAACAAAATTTCCCCTCATTTTAAGAATTTTTTCATACAATTTTCATCCAGCTGCTTTGGAGAAATAATTTTTGTTTAGAAGATTTATTGGAAATTCCTGCAACTTGGTAATAAAAAAATTTTGCAGATATGACGTCTGTCGATCCATCGAATCGTCGTCTCCCCATCTGTTTAGAATAAATATCGGGAATTAATTGGTCAAAATAGCAAAAACAACTAAACCGAAAAAAAGCTTTCATTTCCGTTCGTTATGCGTAAACAATTCTCTCGGCTGGTCGGATCAGTGGTATATCATTCGTTTGTTCGCCAATACCACTGAGATGCGTTGGAAACTTTTGCCGAACTTATTGTGAGCGAACTTTTGTTTGTCGATGATCTTTAGAGCTTTTTTGAGAACTAGACGAAGTGAAATAAACACAATTTCATAATTATTGACGAAGGCATTTTCTGTATCAGTAGTGGTATGACTGTGGGGAGGATTATTCATATGTACAAAGCTGAGAGGGAGGGGAATAGATGGATGTGCTATGAACACATGCCACACACTCAGTTTAGTTCATAGATATGTACATATAGTCGGATCTATATGTATGTAGCCCCGTGACTGTTTATTTGAAAATTCATTGCGGTCAACCCAATTTGTAGTAAACCAATAAGAAAATAAAAAAAAAACAACCGCAAATATTGTAATTTGTATGCATTAATCCGAACGAAAATTGAAACAAAATATTGAAAAAGCGAAAAAAACAACACTAATTAACAAGGAAAAAATTAATTGATGCGATTGTTAATCGTTTTTATGGATGTACAACAAGATTCTGCATATATATCTTTAAGGTATTTAATTTCTTCTTCATGGTCTTCGCATTCAAAATATCTGAAATCGATCGGAATTTTATGCTATTATTCCCTGAAATAATAAGATACCAAATTACAGACATCTCCGATTCTTTCGTTCATCTAGGTCCATTTGAACCAATCATTCATCTAGACTTATTTATTGACAAAATTAAGTTCATTTCCTCAGCGAACTGCTTCAGGACGAAATTGTCAACTCTACATCTACGCTCTTTGTGCGGCAATATAAAGCAACGCCTATCTAAAACGAAGATATGCGTACTCATAATTTTCTTGTTACACACTGGAAACTGCAGTGACAAATTATAATCAATTCCATTGGAAAAATTGGTCCTTCAAGTTAGA